CTCCTGCTGCTGCTGCTGCTGCTGCTGCTGTTGCTGCTGCCGATGTAGTTCGTGCCTGTGCTGTTGTTCTCTGTGTCGCTACCGCTGCTTCTTTTTCACTGCTACTGCTGCTGCTAGAGTCTGCGCTGTGTGTGCTGCTGCTGCTGCTGCTGCTGCCTTCGTTGCGTACCTGCTGCTGCTGTCCATAGGTAGGTTCTTGCTGCTGCTGCTCGCGCGTTTGCCGCTGCTGCATTAGTTGCTGCTGTATTTGTTTCTGCTGCTGCGCTTCTCAGAAGCAAAATGCGTTGGATAGGGCAGAGCAGCAGCAGCTGCAGCAGCAGCTGCAGCAGCAGCTGCAGCAGGAGAGGCGGCAGCACGAGAACGACATGCTGGAAGCAAAGTCTCTTGCTGCTGCTGAGAGGCAGCAGCTGGAGACCCGACTCAGAGAAGACTACAAATCAAGGCAAGCGAACTGCTGCTGCTGCTGCTGCTACTGCTGCTACTGCTGCTGCTGCAAGGAGGACAGCAGCAAAAGGAATAGAAGCACGGAAAGAAAAATGGAAGGAGACAAATAGATAAAGATGCAAATGCAAAAAACAAAAGAGACAAAAAGAGACAAAAGAAATAAAGTATAATAAAAAGAAAAAACAGAAAAAGAGATAAAGAAAAAAAGACATACACAGCTCAGCTGCTGCTCCTAGGGTTTAGGGTTTTCAAACTCAGATATGGGCATCTCAGTCATATTTGCTGCTGCTGCTGCTGCTGCATTTGCTGCTCCTGCTGCTGCGTTTGTTGCTACTGGGTTTGTCGCTGCTACTCTGCTACTGCTTTTGTTGTTGCGGCTGCTCCTCCTGCTGCTGCATTTGCTGCTGCTGCTGCCGCCGTATTCATTGCTGTTGTTACTGTTGCTGCTGCTGCTGCTCTTGCTGCTGCTGCTGCTGCTGCTGCTGCTGCTGACAGGACTGACCGGCTGCGGCGTGAGACCGAAACGGAGGCGCGGCGGCTGCGGCAGCAGCTGAGAGACACCGAAGAGAAATATGCACATGACTCGCACATGCTGAGGTGAGCAGCAGC